CCTAGCTCTTCTTGGCTTATGCTACATCGTTTGGAGTTGTCTGTATAATGTCTTGTATTAGAGAACCAAAACCTCTTCTCTTGTGAATGTGGTGATGGGGGAGTGCTGGCAGAGGATTCATTCCATCATTGTTACTTACAGCTATATTATTTCAGAAGCAAAGTCTGCTTAGTGCCTTGCATGTGGAAAGTACTTCTTACATGTGTAGAGCCACCTCAATATGTACTAGTTTGGCTGCTGGTGTTGCTCAGTAGCTGACCTTCCTCAAAATGGCACTTCAGCATCCTGATGCAATCTGCTCTGTATTACTGTCCAGGAGAGCATACTACATCACACATAACATGCTGCCTGAGATGTTTTTTCAGTGCATTCAGATCCAAATCGGAGCAGAGCCCTGTATCTCCAGGAACAGAGCCTCTGATGGCAGTCACATTGCATACTCTCAGTCAGACCTTCACCTTAAGCTGTTTTCCTTGGACATCTCCATTTAAATTTGGTGGGTCAGTCTTGCTGTGAAGCTTCAGGAGGTATGGCTGTACACCACTTAATACAGATGTGTGGCCAGGAGTTATCTGAGTGTGTCAGCTGGAGTTCACAAGAACTGTGCTTGGTTTAGAGATGACCATGAAATGCCCGCAGAAAGACAAGGTGGTATTTTTTATGTAAAGTAACAAATTGTATTGATTCAATACAAATGTAACTGTATATAACTTTAAAAGCCCTCAGGAAACCATAGAAATGTAATACTGGAATATGTTCAATTTATATTCTGATGTCAATATACCAAGTGCTGGGATTTTTGGATTAGTCATCCAAAATCATGAAAAAGTATACTTACGTATTTGGAAAAGAAGGCCTCTAATTATGTGATGAAAAGTCAGATGTTAATCATTACAGGTCTTTAGAAATGATTGTTTGAACTGTTTGTATTAGCTTTTGAAGCTCTAAAAGGGATTGTAATCTGATTCTTCTCAACGCTGTACAAACATGCTTTGAAAAATATTCCACGCCCATGCAATGTAACTGCAATCAGAAGAGAAGTTCAGAGAGCTCAAGTGAGTAACCAGAAGTCACTGAAGTCTGGAGATAACCCAAATATCTGATCTGTTTTTCATCCCTCAGGTCATGCTGCTGTTAACAAAGTGAACTTGGTTTCAGATAGCTGTGTTCTGTTATTCTGCCGTATCTTTCCCACTTTCAACAGAAAGATTGGGAAATGAAAATTTTATTCAATGAATGATTGTTAAGATGCAAAACTTCTAAATCTTTCTACCCATTGCTTTTAAAAATCAAATCCTACATTTATGCTAACACTTCTAATATCTAGGCATGGCTGAAAAGTGCTCTGAGAGGCACAGTATGAGCGGATCAATGCTCTGTCACTACAGGGCGAATGTGGTATTGTCACCGCTTGCCAAACACAGTGCTTTTGGGACTGTTGGACAGTGAACAGAGAAATCCAGGGAGCTACAACCAAAGAATGCAACTGAGTTCATCCATGACAAGAGTGAAAGCTTTTATAAATCCTTTTTGGAACTCATTGTTTACTGTTGAACTTGCTGTGAGCCTGTAGGTGCTATTGTCTGAGTTCTGTACTTCTTGCAGCTGAGCTTCGTATGAGAGTCATCTTGAACAAGTTTTGAAAAGTGAATTGTCGGAAATAGCTGGTTGTCACTTACCCATGGCAATGAGACTTCCATATGCACACTCCCTGTTTGATCACTGTGTGTGACATGAAGTTAAAAGCTGGCTTATAATAGGAAAAGGATTTTCAGACACTGCTTGGTATTTTGAGGTCTAATAAAACATTCTGAACGGCATAGTTAGAATAAGGGTAAAGGTAAATGAACTTGGTGGTGGACTGTTAAGATGAGACAGGGAGGAGGAAGTGGGACAAGCGACATGGCCTTGTCACTGTGGGTAAGGGATGGCTGGCTGGCTTTGTCAGCATGAATGAGAGTGATCTAAAGCCGCAGACCTGAAAGGTTAGCATGGACTTATCAGTCTCCTGGAACTTCAGGGGTTGCCAACCCTGCAGCTATCAGTGAGAAAGGAAGCTGCAACAAATACAACTACAGGCAGGTTATGGTTTCTAGAATCTGTTACAATTATTAACTCAGTGTTTTGCACAAACATTTAATACTCACAAATTAATTGCGTCACATAGGATTGGGTAATTACTGTTTGAGTAGCTTCACATCTCCTTTCAGTTCTCTAAATAGATGCCTTTGGTGTAGTGATTGGCCCAAAAACAAACACATCCCAAAGAAATGGAGCAGGATGTACAGCCCACAGAGCCACAGGCTATCCTTCTTTTCTGAGACATTGGTGTTAATTGTGTTTTATTTACAGACATGAATTGGAGGACAAGCTTCTGGGCTTTCCCTCGTTAGAAGTAGAAGGAGATTGGACCAGCTCAGAGCTCTAGAAAACACTTACATACTCACTTATAATTTAGTGTTAATTGTATTTTTCCACACTTACAGCAAATGTATTCTAGGAAATACGAAGGCCTACTAAAAAGGGAGTGTGATCCTAGTTTGATTGACATCCGCTTTGCCAGGTTTCTTCCAAAGCCCTTCAGATTGTTTTCTTGGTGTCTTTTACTATATTACAAGCATCAAAATAATTATACGGGAAGACTGTTCCAAATGACCTTGAAATTAATTGGGATGCTTACCTTTGCTTCATTAGGCCTTTCCATTTAATGCAACATAGTTTGGTCCAGACCTCCCTTAAAAACAAGAGATATTCCAAAAGTAAGTCTTCAGGAATGCTGGCAGGCACCTTCTCCCACCAACAACCTCATTCTCCTTGGTGTTTCAGATGAGGAGATTGAGCTGGGTAATTAACATTGAGCTGGGTAATTAACATGTACAATCTGTATTTACAAGCTGAAAAAATGTTTGGTTTATCCCCTGACAGCTGCCTTGCTCAACTCTAAATGAAGTTAAATGAAGAGGAAAAACAACCTAGTTTTCATGAAAAATGTACTTGTGAAGGCAAGGGACTAGCTGGCTATGGCTGAGTGCAATCCTGGCAGCGATCTCTTGGTACCATGCTTCCTTCCATCCCTCACTGATACTCAGCTCTCAGCCAGAAAGAACTCCCTCCTTCTGGATACCTAATAGGAGCCTTTGTTATAATGAAACTCTTAAACCTGAATTTCGGGCTCGTTTTAACACGTTAGCCTTCATGTGGGTTTTGAGCCTCTTTCAAAACATTTTTGAGGCATTTAAATAAACAAAGCTGCTAGGTTTTCTTTTTAAATCAGATGGATGTGGGGAACCTGCTGACTTCCCGAGAATCAATGCAATATGCTGTGATCTGTATTCCCAGTCTTTTAAAGAGGTTCCTTACAAGCAATGCCCAGCAGGCTAGGATGTGTGACGTGACACATCCCGCCGCCAGCTGAAGCTGGTTGCAGCTGAAGCCTGCAAGTTTCCTCCAAAGAGCTGCTGCATCTGATCAACAGGAGTTGGCTTTACCTTCCTTAAGGCTCTTTTTCTGTTTCTGCCAGCTGCAACCAGTGAACCTGTTGCCTTGTGCTAGGCACTTTCTCACAGTGCAAAACACTTTGTTGCAAGCTGCTTGAATATCTTCTCTGCTCCGCTGAATATATCAATACTATTCCCAAAGTATGTTATTGAGCAGCAGACTTCCAAAGACTTTGGCAGAATGTTTAAAGGATTGGAGTTGATATAAAGTAGAAGAGGTTTGGCATGGAGTTCTGCCTGACTCAGTTGTTCCATTTCCCAACAGTCATAGATGTAAGCTCTCTGCTTCATGGCATGCTGCTTTTGATGGGGTCACACCTATGCGCAAGGGCACAAAGCCTGTTTTTACAAATCTAAAAATGTATACTGCTTCTTCGCCAAAGAAATAAAGAACAGTGAAAAATCATTTGGTAAGTCTGAGTAGGGACTTCTGTAGTGGGAAAAAACCCCTAGCATAGTTGTAATGTATAAGTCATCTGAAATACATAGCAAGAGTTGGATAGTGAAATCACCACCCACTTCCCAGCACATTCAGTTAATTATTATTTCTAGATGGTTAGGAAGAGTGGGAGAGAGTGGATAGATGTTTAACAGGATGACCTACTAAAGTTCATGGAAGTCATTTCTTGGTACAGGGTAAAGATAAGATCAGAACCAGTGGGACAAACATGCCTCTGGAATAAATGAGGCATGCAAATAGTATTAACACTAAGTTGAACCAACTTGCTCCAATAGACTGCTGGATTTGTTTTAATACTCACATATGGAAAAAATATGCAAATTTTCAGTAGAAGATGCTGGAGAGAATTGCAGTGTCCTGGAGAGACATGAAACTGAGAAATAAGGGGTCTACAAAGATGCAGGAACACATTCTCATAGGTTGTTCCTATATTGTCCTATTACACAGTGACAAAAGTTTTTTTACATTCATCTGACAGTCAAATCTATGTGACACTCTGTCAGACTCCAACATTTGACCTGATGTGAAGTTTTGATTCAGCAATGAACTTGAGTATATTCTTCGTACTGAGCACTGCAGCAAAACCACTCCTCAGCAGAAGCACGTGATCACGTGCCTACCCTCAGACACGGGTTCTTTTGAAATCACACTTATACCCAAATTCAAATTAAAATCCTTAAGACAGAAAAGGAAAGAAATTTAGGAAACCTTTCAAGACTGATAGTGAAAGTTCTTGCTACTTTGCAAAGCTGCTTAAGTGCAATTTTTAACTTTCTGAAATAGCTGTACTCAATATTTGCAGGCTGAATTGAACAGTTAAAGTGCCAGGCATGTTCATGCACTAGTGGTAGTGGTTTTGCGAAATTATATACAAAAATGAAAATTCCTTTTAGAAAGAAAGCATGTTCCTTTGCATGATTTTTAATTGTAAACTGGGCGAAAAAAAAAAAAAAAAAAAAATCTAGGAATTAAGGCTTGTGTTACAGCTATCAAAGACATCAAACACAAACAAGTTGAGAAGTGCCACATGGCTCATTTTTGTTACCGAGAGATTTATATAAATATGTTTTCTGACTTTTTTTCCATGATCACAAGCAGAAAGGCTTTTAATGTAGCTCAGTGGGCTTTATAGGAGTGAGAAAAAGGTAGGGAAAGACTGCAGGGAAGAAGAATGCGGATATAATGTAGACCACAAGGGAAGGTTGGCTAAGAGGCAACAGATGGAGTGTGAAATAGTACCACAGTGACTTAGTTGGCATTGTTAGCCTGAAATGGAGAAGTAAAACTCAGAAGAAAGGTCATCAGGAAGGGCTGCTTTCCCAGGAAGCCTGCATGCAAAGAGTATTTAACATTGCAGTGTTGAAGCAGACACATTTAACAGTTGGCTCTCCCAGGCTCAACATCCTTGGCAGTGTTTACCAGTTGTGGTAATGGTGGGAAGTACTTTGGAGGTCATGTGTGTTACCTTGATGCTGCTTAAAATCCTCTGTCTTTTTCAGGCAAGCTGAGGGTTCAGTCCATCCACTGGCTTTGTATGTACTCCATCTCTTTCAAATATGCATAAATAGCAGCCATTTCTTATGCAAACCCAGAAGTGACCTTGCATAAGCTCTTCTTGTATATACTTTTTTCCAGGTGAAGGAATAAGAGCAGATCGAGATCTGACCAGGGTATGGAGTGCAACATGAGCTCTCTGTGCTTCTCTGCTGTGTTTACTGAAGGTCACTTCCCTCCTGATGTACAAGGTGAGAATATGTTTCCTCCCACACATGCCCTTCAATTTTACTGAGGTTTCTTTGTGAACAAGAAGCATTCAGAAAGTCTCCAAGGCTTTCCATTCAGCTTTTTTTCAGGCACGTGGGTGACTGCATTGGTCTGAAAAACAAACTGTGCAGTGCTTCTGCATTATCATATAAGTTCACGCTTTTGCCCAATTCCTATGTGTTGTCTCACACTATGGCACAAGTCCAGATGAGGAAGCTCAGCCAGAGCTAGCTTGAACTTGAATCTGAGGTCATCTGAGATACTCCTGTGAGAGCATCAGCTCAGTGCTTGCTAGCAGCAAAGAAAATCCAGTGCTGCATAACCCTATAGCTCACCTGTCCATAGAGAACTCTATGCTACACTCCTTCTATCATGGCAGGATATGAAAAAAGGGAGAGGTCTAGAGGAGACAAACCAGGTTGATAGAAGGTATGGAACAGTTTATGTCTTGGGAATAAGTCAGAATAAATAAATATATTATAAATATATTTACAATTTTATGTATTGTAAATATATTATAAACAAATAAATATATTGCCTGCAAATTTTCAAATGGAATGCATAGAGTTACAATCAGACATTCAACTCAAAGAAAAATGTGACCATGTCTCTCTACTAGACTTCCATACGACCAATCTTACCAGAGAGAAACATGCTTTGTTTCACAATCCCGCCTTATTTGCACCATCGCTTTTGGGCAGTATGTACGTTTGTGAACAACTCTTTTCAAGGATGAAGCAGAAAGAGAAAAATTAGATCAATAATGAGCACCTTGGGAACTCGCCAAGAATTGCAAACACTTCCATCAAACCATACTGATGCATTAGTTTAACAAAAACAAGGTCAAATAATATCCCATTAGCTTTGTGTTCATGTTGCCTTCTTTTTTTACGTTTTAATTTAAAGGGGGAAAAAAGTGTTATCACTTATTTGTGTTAACTATATTATATATTTTATATGCAGCCTAAGACAACAACTCTTTATTCAGTGCGGCCCAGGTATTCCAAAGGTTGGATGCCCATGCAGTCATCAGGCTCTTTTGGTAGAGGTTTTATTCGATCATTCCAATTTATCATTTTCAATCCAGACAAGTACTGACTTCTGAGAATCAGAAGTACGTCCTCCTCGTGCCTGCAGTTTCTCTGTAGATAAGCAGAAAAACTGGGGCATGCTGCAGTCAGTCTGACAGCTGCCAAAAATGCAAGTGATTCATAAATATGTTCTTTCTGTGTGATCATTATTGGTAAGGGTGTAGGACTAATCTGGAGTCTCTCATCACTAGCCTAGAAATAGCTATTTGGTTTATAAAGGCAAGACCTGCAAAAAGCAGACCAAGAGCAAAAAATTGCATGCGAAGCAGGAACAGTAAATTTTAGTGAAATAGCTTTGGAGGAAGAGCTGGGAGAACACCTTCATTGACATTCCTAAGAAAACGATTTGAATGAGCTTTTCGGGCCATCATGGTTCTTATTCTGCTTGATGCTGAATGGAATTTCTCACCACAGCAGCACTGCATTATTGCTTTTCATTGACCTATGCTCAGTTTTGACCTCTGCTGTGAGTGAAAATGGACAATTAACATATAAATGTGGAATTGCACAGACCATTTCTGACACAAATATATTCATTACTGAATAGCTTTATTCTTGTGCAGTCATCCTGCCTTTTTACTGCAAATTCACTGTGCCAATTCACAGAAAATATTTCACATCCAATGTGACTCCAGAATACATCCAGGTACTGCAAAACAGCACGTGCTGTCTTACAGCAGAAGGCAGCTCCTTTCATGTTCCAGCCTCCTTAAACTAGTTTAGGCAACAGTTACAGATGGGAAGCCTTGACCTATGAAATATTTTTGTTGTACTTTAATGCATTACTGTTATACTGTGACTAAGTGATAAGATTCTCTCTGGAAAAGATACCAGTTTGCCCAGTTTTATGCAGAGCAGTTCCAATGGACTTTAACTTTCACACCTAGCAGTCAACACTGCAGCATGTATTGCTCTTGTGAGAGGGAAATTGGGCCCTAAGAAACTTATTTTGGATGTATTACTTGAGCTGATTTTTCAGTTTGCCTTCAAGCCCTGTGTGAAGGAAGGGACTTGCTAAAGTTCTGAAATCTCTTAGAACTTCCTACAGACTTTTAAAGTTACAGGGGAAATAAAACGCTGCAGCCAGGTACATCAGAATTAGTGAACTGGATCTGACCAGCATCCACCTTTCACAGCCAGTATCAGCTGTTCTGAGGATGATGAACGTCATCCTGCAGGCTGCTAAGCAAGTAGTGGGTTAACTAGCACGGTCCTTTGCTCATCCCCCACAGACAAAACTGGTGTGTTCTGCTGCAGAAATGCCTGTTTTTCTTTGAGGAAGTCTACCATGTTGGCTATTTCAGCTCCTAGTACTACTTACTCCTTTCCCAGTTTAGAATTGCCTGTGTTTGATATTCATTGTTTTTGCCTTGAGAGAAAACGTACAGAAAATACATCCAGTGCTCAGAGGCTCTTGTTTCAAGGGTTCTTTGTTAGTTTTTCTTGTTAGGAAAGCAGGAATGTTACCTTCTGTGGGGTATTTTGTGCTTTGGGTGTAGGCTTTCCAGGCTGCTCAGTCTGGCACATCATAATGTAATGCAGCAGCAATTATACTCCGCTATTTGTTGCCAAGTACCAGTATAGATAGAGAGCACATGGCTGAACATTGACTGTAGCACAGCAGAAATTAAAGGCTGTCTTCAGCCCATCCTCTTATCCTGCACTCTTGTAAATGTTTATGAATATATTGACGTTAAGATAAGAGGAAAATTTCCTACCAGCTTCATCTGCAGTTTAATCTTTGTCCAGGTCATAGCTGCTGTTTGTTTGGAGTGAAAGTGCATGTGTTTACCTTTTCCCTAAACCTCATCCATATTGAGATCATCAGAATTCTGAGTGCAACGCATGGGAGCTGAGCTTTCCTCTGCTTGTTGTACTGAGGAACAACCATTCAGGAGAGGCCTGGTCCCAGAAATCATGGATGGCCACATTCCTTAAGCCAAAGGACTGCACCTCTTCAGAGCCTACATTTTTTGAAAGGAAGCCTATGTGCTGGGAGGTACAATGCACACTGGATTTGGTTGTTGTCACCATACACTGCGATCAGGGGAGAGGACAGTGACCCTGGCCTCTCTCTAGAGCTTGGCTAGGGGAAACACATGAGTAGCCATCCAGCACATTGCTTCTGTACACAGACTCTTTGTATTTCTGTGAACGACTCACTGCTATTTCACAGTACAGTGGAGTGTTTTGTATGGGCTAGAAATATCTTCTTCAGGGGGTTTGTTCAGCATAGCTAGATCTCTGCTAACATTCTCTATTACTGCTCCCTTAGTTAGCTTGAGTAAAGAAGGTTGCTCTCAGCAAGCACTGGAGTGCCCCAACAAAGTTTGGTTGCAGTTGCTGAAGGTACAGCTGCGTAAATGCAGACAGTGAAGCTCCGTAGCCCTTCTGGTGGTGTGATCCATTCTCACTTCCCCACGTTTATTTCTTAACAGATGAGGCATTGGTGGAAGTGGGAGATGCCTCTGGACAGTGAAGACTGGCTTGCTCCCGTGGTTTGAGGAAGACCACCCTCTGAGAACAGACGGGGAGATAATGACTTCAAGCTGAGGGCAGGGGAAAAAAACATAAAAGTCATTATTTTTAGAATAGTTCCAGCAAAATACAAGGTTTTGATCTTTATTTTCCTCAAACAATTTTCAAGGGCACTAGACAGAACCATTTCAATCATTTATCTGACTAGAAGGTCAATATCCTTTTGAACAACAGGTGAATAGGGTGAACTTTTATTTCTCGCCTCTTGGACTCAGCTGCCTAAATACTGCCAAAAAAAGCATATATACAGGACAGATGTGGCCATGACAGAGGCACAGAAAACTAGGGCACAAGCTCCGGGTCAATTTTTTCTTTAGAGAATGCCATGTGAATGCACAAACACATGTAGGAAGTCACAAGAACTGGGTCTCCCCTTGCAAAGTTGCCTGAGCTGCTGGTTTTTGTTTGTTTGTTTGTTTTTTATCAATCCCAGCAATCCTCTGTCTTCCCCATGGCTTCCGTACTCAAGTCATCCAGCGAAACAGTGCACATCAGAGATCAGAGATCCAGCTGTTGTGAGAGACGGTGTGGCCACAGCCTGCCCCTTCTGATAGATTGCCAGGACATCTTCAGGGAACATCCTGCTGGATTATTTTTTTTCCTTGCAAAATGAGGTCCAGATTGTGTTGTTGGTGTCAAATGTGGGTTTAGTTTGTCTGACTCTAAAAAAAAAGGTAAAATGTTTGAGTACCAATGTGACACCATTTATCATCATTAAATATGCAGGTTTTAGTTTTGGTAAGTAATTTAACGTAGAGTTTTGTAGGTGAAAACTTTCCACTGTAAAAGTGGCAATCATTTTGGCAGCAGAAGTTAAGCTAGATTTCAGATACTGCATGGAGATCACAGAGAACTGAAACACTTGGTCAAATGTTTTAATATTTGTGCAAGGCTTTGCCTCATCTGCAATGGAGAGGCTGGTGGGAAGTACTGAAGTGCTTAGAAAGTTCCCCTAAACAGAAGGCATGCAGAATTTAATGTTTTGTTTTTTTTTTTTTTAACTGTAATTTAAAGAAACACCAAAGCATCAAAGCACTGTTGTGACCCAGAGGATCACACTGGGAGTGTTCCTGTGATTACTGAAAACCAGCAGAACATGAAGTTCTAATATGCAAAACAATGTAGTGTGCTGTGATAATCTGGCACCTTACATCTGGCCAGAGGGGAGGGTGGTATGAGAGGTTCTGAGACACACATCCTGCCACCAGCTGTCAGGATCAGAGGGACAAGCAACACATTCTGACACTGGGGAAGCATTGTTCCTTCTGCTCCCCCAAAGCAGAAGGCAGTAGAAACAGGGCCATCTGACAGGTTTCACCTGTAGGGTGTGGGTGAGCATAGCTTCTTGGTGA